ACATTGACCACCATTCAAGCATGGATTCTGAGTGCATGGGTCACCTACATGCTCATTCATTTCATTTCATTTCATTTTCATTCTTATCAAATACGAGCAACTTACGTATGGAACAATCATAGCCTGAATAACTGGGTGGACAGATGCATTGATACGAGTTACCATTGAGTGGTTGACAAGTGCCTCCATTTCGACATGGCTGATTCGCGCATGGATCAATACCTAAGCGAAGTAGTGACAAAGAATCCAGTTACATGTTATGAATGAGTAAACTTACGATCTTCACATCGTTGTCCTGTATATGGTTGAATACAAATACATGTGAAGCTTACCATTCCAGTAGAATCACATTGGCCACCATTCAAACAAGGATTTTGAAAACATGGATCACCTATGTTCAATTATCTTATTGGATTTTCATTCCTATATAATACGAACAACTTACGTATTGAACAATCATAGCCTGAATAACCGGGTGGACAGATGCATTGATACGAGTTACCGTTCAATGGTCGACAGGTGCCTCCATTTCGGCATGGCTGATTCGCGCATGGATCAATACCTAAACAAAGTGATGCGAAAGAGTTCAGTTAAACGTTATGAATGAATAAACTTACGATCTTCACATCGTTGTCCTGTATATGGTTGAATACACATACATGTGAAACCTCCTATTCCATTAGAACTACATTGACCACTATTTAAACAAGGATTTGGAAAACATGGATCACCTAATACGATAAATAAAATATGTCCTCAGCATGCATATATATAGATAGAAAATAATGAGTTTCATTATGTTACTCGCATACTTACGTATTTCACAACGTTGTCCAGAAAATCCATTTCGACATGAACAAACAAAGGAAGTACCACTTGCCATACACATACCATTGTTGAAGCATGGACTTGGTACACAAGGATTCGAACCTGTTGATATTTTAAATAAATGTTATCAGAGGTATTGGAGAAAAGAAGAACAAGAAGATTTTCATATGTAACTCACGAATTTCACAACAAATGCCTTGAAAACCAGCAGGGCACAAGCACGTAAAATTTCCTGCATTATTAGCTTGACAAGTTCCTCCGTTACGGCAAGGATTTGGTAAGCATGGATCAGGAGGGACAGTAGTAATGGCACTGTCTAGATAGGTATACATGCATATTCACACAGTCATTCATGCTATATGTGTTCTAACTAGAAGATCTTAAAAACTTACCGATATCACATGTACGACCTGTATATCCAGCTGGACAATAACAACGAAAAGATCCTGTTGGTTCATCAAAAACACATGATCCTCCATTTTGGCATGGATTTGGCACGCAAGCGTCGCCTAGCAAAAACAAAACCACCCATGAAACAGTGAAAAATATATGTGAAATAGTGCATGCATAAGCGGCTACTACATATGTATGACATTTTTTTTTGTGTTTGATCAAACACTTACATATCTGACAAGTAAGGCCATGAAATCCAGGACGACATTGACATGTAAAACTGAGCATGCCTTGTAATTGGCATGTGCCACCATTCATGCAAGGATTGGGTATGCAGATATCTCCTGTATAAGCAGGTTATCAAATAAAACTTCATAATAATTAAAAACGCATGCAAATAAATAAAATGAAAAAAATGCTTTACAAATGCATAAATCACACATATTTCTTCTTACGACGTGGACAATACGGTGGATTACACACACAAATAGCCCTTCTTTGGCTATTAACAACACATCGTTGATTACTAGGACACGGATACTGAGCACAAGGATTTGCTGAGATTGAAGAAAATTTTTTACGTTAAATTAGTACGATGAGAAAAAAAGGAGTTTTTACTAACATCGTTCACATAGAGGACCAATATAAGATTTTTGACACATACAGAAGAAACTGACTGGTGTTAATAAATGGCATGATTGTCCATGTTGACAAGGATTTGGATTACAAGCAACATATGGTTGTGGAGTTCGATCTAAATGTTTTTTTTCCTCATATTCGTTCATATCTCATTAATGTTTCTGATTTATCATACATGTATTACAAGTACTTCTACTACTAGCATAGTGACTAGGTGGTAGACATGTACAACTCGCTGGTGCCAAGCCGAAACCTGACTGACGATAAGTACATGTTCGTCGTTCACATTGATTAGGACATGGTGATGGTAATGATGAAGAACTTTGTCGACGAAGTCCTTAGACAAAAATATTTTAAGATACAGATTCAACTGAGAGACTCCAAAGGAAAGGAACATGTATTTTCATGCGGCTTACGTTCAACTGATGCTGAAGTATTTGTTTCTATCGATAGAAAAATATAAATTTATTATTGATCAACTAAACTTTTTTCTACATTTTGTTTTTGTATGAATAAACAAAATCTTTTCAACTTATGTTTAATGTTAGGATAACTATCATCAATAATAGACTTACTTATCTCACAATTGACTCCTGTATAACCATATGGACATTCACAAATATATGTTCCAAGACCCATAATACATCGACCTCCATTCTTACAAGTACAACCAACAGTAAAAGCTACAAAAAAACAAATCCATTTTTTCCGGTAAATTATCATAGTTAGATTAAAAAAAAATAACAAAATCTTTCTTACCATAAGTGCAATCATCTTGCCATGGTGGACAAATACAACTAAATCCATCTTTTGTATCAAGACATATAGTACCCGATGGACAAGGATTACTTGAACAATCATCAAAACCTAATGTATAAATGATTATTAAATTTCATATACGTATATATATATATTCTTTTTTTGCCATCAACATTCTATTTCGTAATTCATTGTATTCTAATCGAATTATTTTACATACCACGAATAGAACTAAAATCACCGGAATTACATAAATCAGTTGAGCACATACACCAATAAAGACCATTGTATGTTAGACAACCATCGACAAGTAAATCACGTACCCATCGTTCGTCGGTACAACGACGATCAGTAACTTTAAAAATATAATGAATATTCAGATAGTTTTTAATTTAATTTCTTTTTTTTTCTCGCTTTCATTCTACTTGATTAAAAAAAAAGCAGAAAGCAAATCACTATTATAAGCTTACGCGTTCCATTGGCATGAGCAGCTTTTAAATAACATCGCTGATTATAGTGACAAGGTACGATGCATTTACTGGCAATGCCCGTCTGTGGAAAGGTTGTACATGCAAAACACCGTTTGTCCTCTTCTAAGATGGCAATAGCTGATCGACCCGACAAAGATGACGAAGCGTCTAGAAAAAAGCAGTAATCTATATCTAATTATTCGAACCTTGATTGTATGGTGTTGGTCCACGTATAAAACAACGCTGAGGACTCGAACAAGGTACTGTACAGTCAGATGACGGTACAAGACATCCATAGCACCGACCTGCTAGACTTGGTGCAATAATGGGTTTAAAAAAACGTACTATAATAAATATTCATGTAAATACTCTCATAGATTTTTCAAGCTAGAAAAAAATTTATTCTTTGCTCAAAAAAATATCGATTGACAAACCTGGTATATGACGAGGTTCAGCAGTATATTGTGTTGGATTAGCATTAGTAAACGATATTATATTAATTATTAATAATGAAAACCACCCAATAGACTATATACAAAAGATTTAAATAAACAAAAATATTCGATAGATATAAATTTTTACTTACCATTGTACTAATAATTTTTTTACAAATATATATATTATATTCTCGAAAAAAAAAGAATATTCGACAAATTGACGTTTATTCTCTTGATTTTATATCCTCGATGTAGCTTTATGTCTTTGTTACAGATTGATATTTACTCGTATGCCTTTTACTTTTTTGTTTGTTACAAAGTTGAAGGTACATCTCTTCTGTATTCATTCACTCATTGTTCTTTCCTACTATTTCTCTTCTTTCTTTCGTTTGTACGTATGAATATACAATATGATGATGATAATACAATCCTTGAACAGTACACAATAGTCCAAGAGAAAAAAAAAGAAGCATTATTATGACATCTGTTCGTCTTCTCTCTTTTTTTTGTTGTAATTTCAATTTTATAAAGGACAATTTGAGGGATGTTGGATTAAAGAAAGAGTATAGTTATTTTACTCCAGGTTAATGATGATAAAAGAAAAAAAGATATATATATATATATATATCGAAACTCTATTTGAGATTAGATTAAAACAATCAATTGAAAGTGAAACCAATAATGACAAAAAAAAAAGAAGATCTATATGTGAATATGCGAAGTTTTATTTAAATAGCCTTCAACTTCAAAACCTTTCGATGTCATATGTTAACTTTATTCAACCACTATTAACGTTTATAAATTGAATTAACAATTTTCTAATCTATGACTACTAAACTTAATTAATAAACGATAAAAAAAATGTCGTAGAAATCGTTAAAAAATTATTATTTTATATAATTTTTTTTTACTAAAGGCAAAATAGATGCGCGTATCATATTGATATAGGATATCTACTCTTAAGGACAAAGAATTCTTTATTGAGAATAAAACATGTTCATATTGCCTAACAAATAAGTACAATGTATATTGTAACTGAAGAATATTGAACATATTTGACTCAAATTAAACGTTCTACCGGCAAACAAAATATGAGCTGCTTATGAAATGTACGAACTGCAATACAGCATAATCTCTCTATAGTAGACACTCTTCGGACTTTTTACGAGGAACAAATGCGTTTTCTAGGTATCTAAATGGTGTTAGTGAATAAAAAAACAAGTAACTGCTGTACTCAGCATTACTTGTCTTTTCATGAATTTTTATTCTTGGAAAATTAGTAATTATTAAAATCTTCCTATCGTGAACATCATTTGAAACTTCTCAAAAGAGTTAGCCATAGTACTATATGATGATATCGACTATAGAGAGATGCATTCAATCTATGTTATATACCGATAATTCAAAACTTCAGCAAGATTTATTTTTTCCGTTGTTATTCATGGTTGAATAGAACTAATCGAATAACATTAAAAAAAATATATTTCACATATATAGAATAAACAAATATTACGAAAGATAGAATTGTTTGATTTACTTCTCTCTATATTTAAAAATAATAATATCATGGATGTAACTCAACGAAATCTATTGAACAATGATAAAATAAAAAATAGAAAAACAAACCCACTGAAACTTGAATCTTTAGCATAAGGCATAGAAATCTTAATATTCGAATATGTCAGTCCATGCATAGTATAAGTAGTTAATATTTAATTTGTTGATGAGATCTTCAATTTGATCCGAATGTATTCAATGTTCTTCAGTTACAATATACGCGCGTCCATTGTTAGATTATTTATAAAACAAACAAGAATCATCAAATGACTTTTCTAGTTTTTTTTTAACTTTAGCTATATATGCATATAATAAAACTTACCATTCTTACAACAAGTAATGTTGATGATTAAATACCTTATAGTTCGTAAGTGATATGAACGATTATATATATATATATATATATGTATGCATAAGCGAGTAGGACTATTTATTTTACTTTTTTTCTTTTTTCGTTTCACGTCGTGCCGTTTGTCGAGAGTTGAGTAATAAAGAAAAGCTTAAAAGAGAAGAAGGACTAGCACATCTGCATGATCATCATCATCATCATCATCATCATCTCACTTTTCCTTGTCGTATTGCCTTGTAAAAAAGGAATTAGTGGGTGTATGATGATACGCCACAATCTTATAACAGTCATGATCAACAGCAATCAATGGCGACTGTTATAGATAGATATAGGTGTACATAATGAGTACGAACAGATTATTCAACGAAGAGGACAAAGAAAAAACTCTGAAGAAGAGGAATAAGTGTTGGTGAAAGAAGGATTATAAGAAGTATTAAATAAAAAAAAAATGAAATCATGTTCTCACGTAAATTTTTTTCCTTCAATCGTTTGAAATCAACTCAAATTTCGAATATATCTCTCTTGTAAATGTTCATCATTCAAAATTATGTAACATATAATGCAATAAAATATTAGGATATGTATATATATATATGTGACTCAGTTTACTTTCAAAGACTTACATTCATCTTCTTGATATGTAGAATATTGGGACAAGGTCTTCGTTTGTCTTCTATGGATAAAATATATATATGCTTATATATTTCTTTGTATGTAGACCGAATAATTCGAAACTGGCGATTATTCTGTCAGCAATACCATTTAGATAAATCTGTTTTTAGGTTAAAGAACCTGTCAACTAACCATCGCTAGATGGACTAATAAGAGAAAAATAAAGAGATATTTTTGGATATCAACAAACACAATAATATTTACGATGCCATCTGTTTTTCGAAACATTATTTTTTTTTTTCTTACTGAAGATAATATTTAGCTTGTCTAGAATGATGAAAGAGATTATTATGTGTAAATTCTTCCAAGGATTACTAAAGAAAATTTTGTCTCATATTTTCATATATAATTGGTTTCAAGGAAATGTTTTACCACAGAATAGTATGGTGTTTATCCTCGATTCCGGTTCTGTCTTGTTGCAATTTCATTCAATGACTTCTCAGTTCGATTCGAATATTATCAGTAACAATCATTCATAATTATATTTAATATAGAAAAGAATAAGTTCTATGATAAAGAGTAACAGAAGAAATACTAAAGTTATCAAAATTTATAATGCTCCGGCACGGTATATATATATATATATATCTATGATAAAAAAATATTAAGTTGTTTGTTTTTTTATTTCTTTACAAATTTTGTTTTTAGAATATGCCACATTGAATTGTTAAATGTAAACCTTGGTAGTTAAGTACAAGTACGTTACAATTTGTAATTGTGAATTGTACATGTAACTTGTTTTTTGTTTTTTTGTATTCAGTATGTGTATGTCTTAACAAGGATTGTTTTAAGCCACAATGACTATTTTAGAATGAATTCTTTACATGACTAATCATGAAGATAAATGATGTCTTATCATTTTCTTTTCCTTTAGTGAATCATGATCGAATCGAGGAGTATTCGATAGAATTCTTATAAAAGATTCGTTATTGAAAATTTCTTCGTATATATTTTCAAATTGATCTCTGTAAAGATTTAATAATGAATTTTCAAATATTTAACAGCGATACTAATGTGTAATATTCTTCAATTAAAATTCTTTCAAGTATTCATTTAATGGAATAGTTTTTTTTCTCGTTTTTTAATTATTACTTAAATTATATTGCAATATTTCTAAGAAAAAAACAAAACAAAAAAAAAATATCACAGTTTTTGTTTTCAAAGAGTTCTTGTCAAGAATATGCGGAATGAATAATTTTACTCTAGAGATATTTCAAGTATGGTATCGATTTCATTATTATTATAGATATGATTAACTACATAAGAACAAATAAAAAACATCAGACTATTTCGAAAACTATTTCATTAATCTTTATAATAACAAAAAAAGGCTATTGTATTATTTAACAACATTAATTCTTCGAACAAATCATTCTAGCTATAAACTTTTCGTGTAAATGATTTTTTAATTAGAACTGTTAATGTAATTATCTTCTTCTTTGTTATATGTAAATATGATGAAGTCTATTATTTAGAAGTCTTATTATTATTATTATTATTTTCTTTTTTGCTTGTTTTTACATAAATCAAAATAATATTACAAAGGACGAGAGAGAGAAACAAAAAAACAAGAAAAAAAAATTTCTTATTCAGATAGATCATTTTTTATTACCAAATATAGGATATCCTTTCACTCGGCAATAAATTAACTGCATGTTGTTATTTAAGGGAAAATTAAGAAAACAAATAAAATAAAATAAAATAAACAAAAAAAAAAATTGAAACTAGCCATATTGTTGATGAGCAAACATTATTTCTATACAAATCTGCTTTTTTTTGCTCATCAAACATACACATATGTAGATAAACCTATGTGATCCTGAATCGTTATCCTTTTCTTTTTGTTGCATTTGTTTGTCGCGATTACCAGAGAAAAAGAAAACAAGACAAGATAGATAGACAAAGACAAAAAAAAAAAAGAATAAGCATTATTGTACACATAGGAAAGAAGAAAAAACGAACAGATGTTTTATCTCAAGGAAGACTTTAATAATCGGATCACATGGTGGTTTTTTTTTGCTTTGACAATAAAAATTTTCTAAAATTCAAATACGTTCAACAATATCGTTTAGTGCTTTGTCAAAAGTTTGTGCACATATTTGATATTCATGTGAATGATGTGGATGTTTAACAGCAAGTAATGGCGAATGTGATTTGACAGCTATACGTGATACAACATTTGTTTCATTTCCAATATGCATTACATATTGTCTCATAAATTCTTCAAATGTTTGTATTTGATATTGTTGTTGTTGCTGTGTTAAACTATTTAAATTATTTATATGATTATGATAATGGCTTGTTGATGATGGAGTTACAGGTGTTGACAATGAATGACGTTGTTCATGTATGAATGATGGTGTTAATGATATTGATGACAAACGTGGTACAGTCGATGCACTTCTTTCATTTGATGGTGATGCTATTGAAATTGATGATGTACGTATTTCGAATGCATCACGATGTTTTGTATATGTATCATATACAAAACGCCAACATTTATCAATTTCTTCAGCTGTTGGTATATTACCACCAATACCTATTTTTGGTTCTTTATTAGCTGATGCTACTTTA